CTTACTGTGTTTAGGCGATGGGGAAAGAGTAAGTGTTCAGAACATTATTGCAGCCTGACTAGAACAAAACCTTGTTTTGGTTTGTAGACAAGGGGTTAATAGAAGAGAATGAATAAATACTCTGAAACAGCATAGTGAATGAAAAATTTGGGATAATGGCTGCTCAGAGCATAAAGAGAAGTGTTTTACTGACATGAACACAGGAATTTTAGAAATGCACCCCCTGATGTGCAAGAGATTTTAAAACAAATTAAAAAAAAAAATTGAAAACAACAAGGTCCTCTAGACTACCATGGATGAGAAAAATTGACGGGGAAAAGGAATCTGACAGTTAATAGATTATCACAAATATGGAAACAAAAGTATTACAGAAGCTTTTAGGGAAACACAGCATTTTTTACAAATTAGGACTCCTAATGAAGTCTCTTGTAATTGTTAGAATTGTAACACTGTTACTAAAACTTTTTGAGGGCTCTCCAAGTCTACTTTGACTTCCCTAAATTATCAAGATCCACTTTATGAGTACACAGAGGTTTTACATCCTGCTCTTCCTTGTGTGTGGTTGTTTCAGACCTCAGTGTTTTACTACTTAAGGCCCAGCTTTCTAACTTTTCAGGTTTGACCTATTCATAGCCAGCTTACGAATTCTGCTCTGATGGCAGAACTACCCTTCAGGTTCTTGTCCCCTCCCTGCAGGTCCCTCTGTGCCCACAGATAAGTGCCCAACTGAAATGTCACATGTGCAGGCAGGAGACAGAGGAGCTGTGCCCGGCCATGCCCATCAGCTGCAGGCTGCCCTGTTCCCCTCACAATTTTGCTGATTCAGAGACAGGAGTAGTAGTGTTATCATTCAAAATTAAAACAATTTAAGTAAAGTAACAAGGGAGAAAGGTTTCATTAGTGAAAATTTTCCATTGTTACTGAACTAGACATTTGCCAGGGTAAACTCTTGTTTAACATTCCCATTCTTTCCTTCACGGATAGAGATCACTGTTCAAACCCACCTGCCAAATGGTTTAATTCTTCCTATATTTCCTCATTATACACTGAGCACTCAACAGTCAATGAATGTTCAGATTACTCTCTGCAATCCCAGTTTTGCTCTGAAGTGTGTTTTGTTTCTCTGCTAGAGCCCCTCAGCACTGCCAGGCAATGCCCACATGTGCCCTCAGCCCCCTCGACAGCCAGTACAATGAAATCCAAATAACCATTTGTCATGGTGAACTCTTTGGAATGACATCTTCATGTTAAAAGGATGTATCGTTATGCTTCAAAAATGGAAATTATCTTGAAGCAGAAAAAGTATTCCTTGCAGGTTTCAAAACTCATTCATTTGGTAAGAGTCAGGTAACTCAGTGGTGGGTACTGTCACTTGCAACAAATCCCTTCTGCAATAGGGGGAATTTTTCTCTAGAGGAAGATTTTGAAACTTATTCCAAATTTTATCAAACTTTTTTGTTGTTATTATTGTTATCATCTGATCCCTGAAGTTTTTGGTTACTAAGAAATTATGAGTACAGTACTGTAATCAAGAAAAAAATGTTCATATTTGTTATTTTTAAATAGCCTGGTTTTGTCTCTCACGAGGTAATGAGATCAACCAAATTCAACCTGATCCATGATCATCTCCTAAACACTTGATCTTACAGCCAGGCTTGCAGTGGGCAGTTGAAATAACCAATTAGGAGCTAACAAGTTCAACAAGAAACCTCGAAAGAAATAAACCATGAAATAAATGAGCTAATTCTGAAACCTGTGAATAATTAACAGTTTGCTACTGGTCTAGATTTCCATGACCTTCAGCAGCCTGCCTGCTGGCTGTGCAGCACACAGCCTGAAGCAAGGAAATCCTCAAAAAGCACACTTGGACATCATGCCTGCAGTCACAGGACACCGAGTGTCAGTGCAGATTCCCAGCCCCTGGGAGAAAAATATGCAATGCCGTGGGTCTTGAAGTGAAACTGTGTGGGTATGTGCATCTAGGGTCATCCTAAAGTAATCAAAGCAGCAGCAGAAGCAATAATAAATTACCATGAGGGGATCTGCTAAATGCCAGTATGAATGTCATCTTTTCTTTTTTTTTCTTCTCCAAGTGTTGTCTCATTGCCTGGTGGATACAGGTTGTTGAAAACTGCCTGATTAAAAACATGCTGAAATAGCATCACGTGATATTTGAGACAGAAATGAAATATTTAACATACGTTTCTACTGCAAAAGAAACATAAAAGCAAAACTGAACTGTACTCTGATATTCTAAACAGAAAATGACAGGGAAATCACTCCAATTTAAACCCATCAGTTCCCTAGTGATGAAAGCCCAATCAAATTATAAAAGGAGCTCTACCAAGCTCATTGTCACAGTCATTACTTGATGTAGAAGGTCTGTGAAATGGAATAAGAACCCTTCAGACACACACTTTTAGGTTAGGCAACCATATTTTTCCTGAGGGACTATAAAAAATATTTTGTAAACATTTTCGGTTCCCATCACTTGAAATTAAAGAGAATAATTTACATCAACATTCAACTAGCACTCAACTAATGAAGCCATTTTCTCTCTGGATTCTTTTCCTCCTTAAACATTCTGTGATGTTGCAATTATTTTCACAAATTGTTTTTTTAGGTCTATTGAAATAACCACTAAAGTAACTGGATTTCTTTATTGGACCAAGCCAGAACCTTTAAACAAATCCTTGTCCTCTGGTGGTTGGAATGCTTCCCCTGGTTAATCCTCTCTTACATGACTAAACTCCATGTCACTTCCTCAGTTCATTGGTATTTTATTAATTATGTAGGACAGCCTCTGTGAAGAAGACAATCTGCAAAAACAGATTCCAGAATGCTGTCTTTGAAACCCCATTACTCTGAATTTCCTCTCAAAGGTTTAGGTCTAATGTAGGGCAGTAGTGCTCCACCAGTGTGCTTCCTTCAGCCTTGAGGAACACACACTGATTTTTTAATTCAACCTGGCTTAATTGTTTGATTTGGAAATATCCCCTGCATTGCCTCAGAGATATTGCTCACAAATGCAGATACCCCACAAGACTGCTGTCTCAGTGTGGCACCAGGTCTGTTATCACTCACCATCTACTACAGAAATACTGGCATCACTCTCTAGAAATGGTCAAATAAGCAAGTGCAGAACATTTTAAATCTTCCAAGCTTAGAAACTTCAGAAATGATCCCCTGTATCGGTCAAAAGTATTTATTTTCTCACTTCAATAAGGTTGAAAAACTGCCAGTGGCATTTTCCCCCCATCTTTCCCCCCCTCCAAGTGCAAGTACAGAAAGCCACAAATACACTGGCATTGAGAGAAGATTTGGTTCAATACTGATCTAAATAGGTGGGAATCATGAAACTACGGAATCTGTTGCCAGAAGCAAAGGACTACAGCTGACTCTTGTCTCTATACTGAAATAACTTGCATTAAACAGTGTTGTTTCTTTGAAGATGGATATCAAAACATGTTTTCAGAACTTTTTTTCTTGTAAGTTGCATGTTTTTAAGATTTAGAAATGCTACATAAATATTGGCCAAGTCACTTAAATGACTATTGAAAATACCATTTGTAATACACATCCACCTACTAATGTGATTCATTTTGGTTTCCTATGTCAAGTACCAAAACTGAGTACTTTAAACCAAAATCATACCTTCAGGACAAAGAGTACTAAACTAAAAAGGTCAAGTAATGATTCATCTAAAAATGTTACTCAAGTTACAAAAACAAATGTTTTTGTAATGCTCTGATTTATGTAACCATCCCAGGCTAATTAATTAATTAAACACAGGACTGCAGAGCTATTAAGATGCCCTATAAAGAGGAGTATTAACATTAATTAAGTATTAAGTTCAAGCATGTTCAAAACTTGAAGAACTTTTAATCTCATTGGAAATAAATGCAAAATTCCCCAAATGTCAATAAAATCTAGATTTCTTCTGATAAAGAACATTAGTATAAGAAAAAGTGAGCCCAACTGGCAACAAATAGTTCCAGAGGTAGGGCATAAATTTTAATTTCCATATCAGAAAAGTGAGGTTCTGTGATTGTGCCCAGCTGGAGCAACAGGAGCAAAAGATGTAGTGCATCTAAAATGGAGCTTAACCTCTTTAGGAAAAGGATCACACCACACAGCTGTGATGGTGATGGATTGTTTGATGATCCAGGATGTCCCTGACAGTCAAACAATACCTGCACTGTAGCAATTCAGGTAAGATGTTTGAACATAAACCTGGAAGTCCGAGAGCACAGTCACCAGCAGAGCTGCCACAGACTGGCAGAAATATTACACTTATTACACAAAAATAGAAAGGGATGATAACGTTTACCTTCTCCCTAGAGCCACCCTTTTCCCAAAGAAGACCAGCCCCAGTTTTCAGGAGCACCACAAAGAGCTGCATTGCGGCGTGCCCGTGATTTAAGGATCCCCCACAGCCCTGAGTGCTCTGATTGTGTCACACAGATCAGCTGTTTGCACTGTGCAGCCTCACACTGTGACAGTGGCTATTTACTGACCAACTGGTGAGCATTAGATCTTCAGTTTCTCAGGCAAACTGAAATGGGAAACATGGAAAACGAGCCATGAGATCAGTGGAATCAACCTGAGAAGATAAAAACAATCTTGTAGAGGGGTGTTTGCATCTCCACACTAAATGCAACTCTCAATATTGAACTTCAAAGCTCTGATGTAAGAAAAACCAAATAGTTTAGAGCCTCTTTAAAGTTTACCACAGCACTCAGTAAAGTTAAGGACAAGGAAAAGTAGGGCTCTTCTAATGTTTCTGTACCTGCACCATCCCTCTCCCCCTGCCTGCAAAACACAACGACAACACAGCTTTTGATGTTTCGAATTCTTCATGGCTTTTTATAGCAACATAACACCAGAGCACCTTATTTAAATTTTTGATTTATCACAAAACCCAAGAGTTTGTTATAAGAAATATCAATAAAAGCTTTAACTTTTCACCAGCAATTTCAAACTCTGAATCAACATGGAGATAACAGTGAATTGATTGTGTTTTAATCTCCTGTCTTTAAGTCACAGCAACAACTAACAATTTTCACTTAACATAAAAATCTTGATTAGGAGACAAGGTTTGAATGAGTTAAAGGCAGGAGAAATGCAAATGCAGTAACAGACATATCTGCATCAGGTAGGGCTAGAAGGTATTATACAGGAAAGCATAATCAAAGTTGATTCTTGAGATTATGTTAACTTATTCCAAAATTCCATAAATGCTAAAGAACTACTTTAGCATCCTACTGTTAAGTGACTTTACAAATATAATATTCATAATCAATGAGTTCTTCAATAGGTTGCAAGAATAAACTGCCCTGATTCCTTCCTGTCAGTCATTACTGACATGCTGCTCAATCTGTTGCCTTCTCTGAAAGATAAATAAAACGTGACTCTGTGAAAGGAACAAGCACTGGGAGATGGAAATGCACTTGTACTCAGCACCTGGGTCAGAACCAATGCAAACAGCTCATAAAGCACTTTTCAGACAACAAAACTGTCATGGAATTTCATGAACAATGTTTCTGAGCTGCCATTTCCTCCAGACTTTGTAGATACTGATTTCTGTAAATCTAAACAATCTTTTAACACCACTTAGATATTGTTTATGGATACTGATTCAAAAAACAAGGAAAAATGTTGTTAATCTGAAGTGTGTAAATTATTCCACTACTACAACTGTAAATCCTGAAATATATGCTGAAGTGCCAGAAGTCAAAGCACAGGTACCATATAAAATGTTTTTTTGACCTTTGGAAGCTTGAAAATAGGACACGTTTTGTTATAAAAACTCATTTTTCACTCACACCTCTATAAAAACCCAGTCCTTTCTTTCCATGTCCCCAAACTGTCTTTCCACTTGAGCTCAATACATTTCATACATGTGCCACACAGTAAACTGATTCGTCCTGCATTACTCAGCTTTTTTCAGCACAGTATTCAGTAATCCTCTTCTCCTATGACTTAGGCCCATATTCCAAACTATAAAGCCACAGTAAGCAGATCTTAAATTAAACTGCCAGAAATTTGCTTTTTTCTCTATCTCAAAATACATAAATATGTATATAAAAAAAGAGTAGGTAAATCAAATTTTGGCTGTAAAAAAACCCACCTTCACTACTGTCCTTTTAAAATAGGTAAAGAGAAATAACCTCATCTGGAAACTAAAAATAGCATGAGTCATTTAACCATCTTTTTCAAATTTTGCTATTATTCCCCTGGAACAGACTGACCTTATTGCCTTTGCTTATGTAAGCAGTAATAGATTACCTGGCTGGAATTTTTCACTAAAGCGATTTTACGCACATTTTATGCTCCACTGATCCTTCTGCTCTCTTTTTTTGTTTTCCAGCTTTCACACCAGTGATCCCCCAGCCCAGAACGCAGCAGGGAGCTTTTGCTGCTCTTCAGCCACATCAGCGTTTCGTTCAGGGGTAAGATGCAGGTCACAGCGAGTCTGGAGACACTCCTGGATCACGGACAGACCCTTCTTTTGCTTGGATACACCGACAACTCTGTTTGCATCGGGCAGAGTCAGCGCTCACTGTCACGGCAGGGCCGGGAGGGAAGGAGCCACAGACCTGCTCAGCAGCCACGGCTGAGCCGGGACCTCTGGCTGCCACGTGTCCTTCACTGATTCCATCAAGTGATGGGTGTTGGACAGCAACATCAAACCTGGATGAATTGCCATCTGCCTTTTTCCACCCCCAAGAGTGAAAGCACATTTACCTGGTGTCTTCTTCTGCTCACAATGGGATAAAACAGGAAACACTTCCTGAACCACTGTCCTACATCCAGCTTCTTCCTTTCAGGGCTCAGTCCCAGCTTGTAATAGACTCTTCCACATTTTTTAAGAAAATCATTTAAAAAGAGCCACAGTCCTCACATATCTGTAGCCCTCTGGTAGACATGCTCAGTTTCTATGGCATTTAACAGGAATATCATGCAGGTACCTGAGTTATTCCTAAGTGTCTTTCCATTTATTTGGAGTTATATTAAAATAGCTACAAGATAGTACAAACAAAACACTGATTTCACTAAATCCAGTACTTCTGTCATGATCACTTAAAGTACATGGACTAAACAGAAGTACCAAAAAGAGAAAAAAAAGAGAAAATAAGAAAAACCTTATTTTATAGCCTATCACGAAATCATGTTCCCCAATATCTGTGGGTCAGGCCTTCATGATCCTTATTTTCACTTATTTCTAGTTTTGCAATAGAGACATTTCTACAAATTTTAGAAACCTTTCGTGCTCTAACAATGTGCATGGCAAATAAAATTTGCATGCAAGCAGTAAGACCTCAAAAGTTTGGATCACCACCAGTGTCAGTATCATCACCACATTTGATGTTTTCACAAGGTTAAGGACAAATAAGTCCAGATTCAATCCAAAGATTGTTAATTCAACTCCTCTTATTAACAATCCTCTCTAAACAATCTCCAAGGAAGCATTCATTAAACCTGTTTCTATACAGGTTTTGTCACACATCATTAAATATCACTAAAAAGGTGATATATATGAAAACTCAGCCAAAAGGCAAAAGTTCATATTAAGGCTATTTTTTTATGTTTAGAAAAATGAGAAAATATTAAACATTGTGCAAAACAAAAAGACTTTATTCATTTTAATACCGTACTTGACTTGAAAGTTTCAAGCACTGAAGACCAGAAAAACCAACTGAATTTTGCTTTTCTAAATACATCTATACTCAGCATGGAAACCTTTAATTCTTACGAGAAACCAGAAATGTCTTTTAGCATTCTAGTTGCTGCTGATTGCCTTTTCAGCTGCCAGTCCTTGTTTGGGTTTCGAGTAGTCCCAAGGTCTCCTGTTCTCTGTGTACCCGTAGAGCTTCCGCAGGGCCACCCGCGCAGCTTCTTCCTCTGCAGCGAGCAGAGTCTCCCCAGGGCCTTCAGCTAAAATCTTCTTATCACTTGGGGAAAAGAAAATAAAATTACAAACATTTTCGTCATGAAATCATCAGCGCTGCTGCGTACCATGAAAAAAATAGACTGTTTTTTTCTCCAGTGTTCTGGGAATACTGAAGATATACAGACAATTTAAACATTCCTGTTGGTCTTTCCTGCAAAGATAAGTGATTGTATATTCAACAATGGAAACTCAGGTCAGAAATGTGTCCATTTCTTGGAATAACACCACTCTGTTCATTTACATTCCTAGCATATCACTGATTCTTTACAGCATTCAATTTGTTAACCCTCTTAAAATATGTAAATTCATTACTCTGGTTCGCTTAAACAGGAACTGAAATGCCTTTGTCTTGTCTCCTCCCCTGGTAAGGAAGCATTTTCAAACTGCTTCAGAAGGACTGATAGCAAAACTCTCTCTGTTATGAAGCACGTGCTCAGCTCTGTTTAATCAACACCGGTGGGCACTGAATAGGAGCAGTTTGTTGAAGGGACACCAGGGATCCCAGAAGAAAAATAATCCAAGTTCCTTTCTCTTCTATAAGATAAATCTTAGAAGGCATATAAACCAAAGCATGATAAATCAGAATAAGTTAAGGCAACCTTCCCACGTGTTTATCTGCAGCTCATTTAGCAGAGCAGCAGTGATGTGGGTTTTGTCCTGCCCCAGAGAAGCGATGTCACCCAGGGGCAAGAGACCAGGACAAGGGCTGACCTCACCTGACACAAATGCACCAGGGACAACTGGCACTTCCTAAGTCTTCCCTGGACACAGATACTCCTCTTGCCTAGTTTTCAGTGCCTGTGATTTGAAAGTTAAAAACCTTCTCTGGAATATAAAATGAGACTCTCTTCAATCCCACCTCCCTTGGTGACCCTACCCTTCCCAAAGCCCTGGATATGTGATCCCTCCAAAGCCCAGGATATGTGATCCCTCCACAGCCATGCAGTTATGATGTTCACAAAGTTCCCGTGACAGGTCACCCAGAACACACCCCCAGGCTCTCTGGTGCACCCCATTTAGCCTCTGAAGCCCTTTAGTCAGAGACTGTCTATGCATCACCACTGAGCTATGGCCAGCACTCAAATGGCTGATTTTATACAGAAGTCACTGTAAGGTTTCTTTTCTCTAACAACTTGACCAAACAGCATATGAGTAGAAAAGTAAAAAATCATCTTCCCTCCTCCCCTCTCCCCCAATTAAATCCATGTCATTTTAAATTAATATTGTACTAACCAGTACAACCCAACAAAGTACACTGGCAGAACTGTGCTGACTCCCAACTGTCTGGTAATTCTTGGTTCTGGAGCAGAGATATTCCTCTTGGTCAGTTCTTCCACCAGTAAGCCCATAGGATTTACAACTTCCCAGATCTCAAACAGGTCTTTTCCGATCAGCTGGGGAATTAAGAAGTCCTAAACAAGAATATTTAGATATTACAATTAATGGCTTGAGCTTCAGGTGTCTCCTAATGAAAATACAGTGTGAAGAGGCATTAATAGAGTTGACAATAAACTGTGAAATGAACGAGGCAGCTGCCTCAGTGCCCCATCCCAGCACAGCAGAGCTGATACACTGAGCAGCTCCGGTTCTGGTTTAGCCACTGACAGATGTGTGTCCAGGGCAAAGTGAACCTCCAGACCCAGGGAAGGGACAGCACCAACCTGAGAGAGGACCTGTGACAACGCCTGTGCACAGATATGAGTTCAGCAACAGGCTGGGGCTAAGCAAGAACTTGAGTTCTGCACAGAGGCTGAAGGGAACAGGCAAACCCTTAGGACTTCAACCTGTTTGGATTATTCTCTTGCTTGTAAACTCCTACTTGCTCTTAAAGAGACCTCCCTATGATTTTAACAAACATTTCTCCATTGCAAAACTAAAAATAAGTTAAAAGCATGACTGAAATTACAATAGCTACTAAAACTACTTTGTTACACTGAATTCAACACTTTTGTATGAAATATGTTTAGGTGCTCACACTCCTACATGCAAAACCTATAAACTCAGTCCCTGATTATATAATTTATTTTTTTTAATTTAAGATATATGTGATCTCACATGGAATAATTTCATTATCTGATACCAGAGTGCATGGAATATAATGCTTTCCCTTAGCAAGTGTCAGCAATACTAATATCACCATTATAAACCAGAAATGTATGATTTTATGTACTCGATCAGCTTCTCAATGAAAAAAAACCCAACACAAAAACCCAAAACCCCACCTGACCACTGCCACCAACCAACAGATCTCATTATTAAATTGTCTTGTTACAGGTACTGTCAAACTTCTGGGGACGTCCCCGGATCGAGGTACAAAACAATGTTTACTGGACCTACCCGGACAAAGATGCCCGTCCTCTCTGACCCGCTGCTTTCCAGCAGGGCTCCTATCACCGCGAGGAACGTCCTCTGCAGCACCTGTGGTGGGGCTGGAAAGTCCCTGCAAAGCGTCAGGTCTTGGATAGCCAGGTTTTTAGCCACGTACGAGACAAGTTCCTGACCGGTAAGAAAATTAACAAGCGCTTCTACGCCCTTGGCAGGTAAATGTGGGTAGGCGCCCTCAAAGCACTGTGTCAGGTAAGCGCGGGCGAAGCGCAGCCCCTGCTCCGCAAGTTTGGTGTTATCCTGGAGGCTGAGGGCAACCGTGTCCTTGTCCACGCCGAGCTGCCGGCGCCTCGCCTCCTCGCTCTCGATGTAACAGGAATTGATAAACGCCGTCTTGAGAAGGTCCAGAGAGAAGTTCTCCTGCAGGCGGTGGCTGAAGGCCTGGATCTCGGCGTGGTAATCCCAGTTGGGCTGCTCGGACCTGCGGGAAGGACACGGGCTCAGGGACAGAGCGAGTTACCCGCGAGCAGCACCGCGCCCTTGGGCTGCTCGACAGGAAACAAAAAACTGTGTCTGAGCACCAAACCCAGTATTTAAATCCGCATCCTGCTGGTTCCGCATCACCCCCTGCCTGCCACGTTCAACCGGGGCTACGCCGACCTGCGGAGCCAAACCCATCCCGCTCCAAAGCGGGACCAGATGGCGCCTAAACGTTTTGATTTTCCCGATTTCTGGGGCCGTTATTGCATCCCTTCCCCAAGCCCCGCCCTGCCCCGCACGGCCCTCACCGCCGCTGCGGCGGCGCCTGCAGCCGCTGCATCTCCAGGTACGCTCGGAGCCATCGCTTCTTCTCGGGGGGCGGCCCGGAGCTGAACGCGGCGCCGAGCGCGGTGCCCAGCGCGCCCCGCCCGGGCCCGGCCGGGGGCAGGAGCGGCCGCGCCGCCCGCAGGAGCAGCCGCGCGGCCATGGCGGGTGAGGGCAGGGACGGGCAGGGACCGCCCCGGGACCGCCCCGCTGGTTCCGGGAGGAAGCGCTCCCGGCCGGGGCAGCGGAACCGGCCCCGAGCACCGCCGGGGAGAGGAGCGGGGACGGGAGCGGGGCAGTGCAACGCCGGGTGTCCCGTCTTGGGCCCTCGGGGCGTTTCGGGGCGGGACCCTCAGGCCGGGCTGCCGCCGGCCCTCGGCAGGAGAGCCCTGGGAGGGCGGAGCGGCGGCGCGGGGGGACCGAAGGGCCGGGAGCGGGTCCCGGGGTGACCGAGGAGCTCCGGGCAGGTCCCGGGGCAGCGGCGCTTCCCGAACGTGCCCCACGGGCGGCCCCTCGGGGGGAGGCGTTCCTGAAATCTCGTCGCGTTCCATTCCCACGTGCAAGACAAAGTCCGGTTTTGTGCCCTTAGAAGAAGCTTTATTTTGAAGTATCGCCTGTACAATTCTTTGTACAATCTCTCAACCCTCATTTGCACCATCAGAGTTCATACAGTACACCTTCAGCATAAAGGTCATGGTATAAAACTCATGAAAATACAGAAATTGTGCAAAGCAGGCCTGGCCCTTCATATTGTCTTTCACTAAAAGACAAAGGCACACGCTTCAACATTCATGATAAGAAAACATGCACAGCAAACACCCCAAATTAGCCGATGGAGTTACATGATACAGTAAACAAAGCTCAGAAACAACATATGCCACAGCCATATGCAGAGATGCCAAGGAAGCAGGGACAGCAGCCTGTGCAGCAGGGCAGCAGCCACACACCACCAAGAGGACACAAAGAGCACAGGAAAGGTATGAGGGCAGCATTCTTTCAGGCACTGGCAGCGCTGATATCAAAATCCTTAGGGCTCCTCATGCTGATGCTCCCGGAACCACCTGTCCTTACCAGGACCAGCTGTGCTGGGCACCCGCGGCCATCCCAGCCCGGGGTCCCTCTGTGCAGAGGCAGCCCCGGGACTGTTCCGTGCCCTCTGTGCTGCAGGGTGAGCGAGGACAGCACTGAAATAGGCTCTGGGTCCTTCTCTTCTGCATCCACCGAGGATCATCATCTCTTCACCTGTCTGTGCACCTCTAGAGCCCAAAAAATGGCCCTGCACAGTGGTCTGGGTCCAGCTGTTCTAAGGAAGGTCGCCTTCAAGCAGTGTTTTGGTGTCATTGCACACTGACAGTCTCAGTTGTTCCACACTCCCTAGGGAAGGGGCTGTGGCTGTACAGCACTGCAGGGCAGTGGCAGTTGCAGCCTTGCAGGGGCACAAAGCCACCAGCACCCCCCCCCCACAGTGTCTACCAAAAAAGGTGCTGGAGCATGGGATGAGCAGGGGATGTTTAAACTGACCGGTGCTGGAGGACAGCAGGCTGGCTTCCCAAACACCACCACCACACCAGGCAGGGGGAGGGAGCCTACACATGCCCCCCTGCTGCTTTGGAGCTGTTCAGGCCACTACTACTAGTTACTTCAAAGACTAATAGTTTAGGTGAAACCTCAAATAAGTGTTCTTAAAATAATATTAAACAATGGTTTGGGGTTGGGGTTTTTTTTGAGAGAGTTTTATTAAATACACTACATCAATATCTTGTACTCCATAATCTTTTGACCACTCATAGACTGACTTGCTTAAAAATGTATTTTTTAGAAAAAACATCTGCAAAATTAAACCTAAAAAAAGTACATATTACACACCTCTGGACAATCTGCATGTTAGCAAAGAATTCCTTTTATTATTCGACCCAAACAAGTACTTAAACAAGGAACATACTCATAAACAGGACACACTCCTTGATTATGGCACACCTCAAACTACTTGGACTAAAGGAAAACTAGTGCAATTGTTTAATTGCATCTAACAACAGAACAATAAAAATGAATTTGTATTCCTTTGTTTTTGTATTTTTTTTTCCAAATCCATTCTATTTGTTCTCTTCCCGCCACAACAAAACCTCCAGTGGTTAGTCCTGGAGATTACTCAGGAGTCCTTACACTGCATGAAGCAAACTTCCCATGGGCTGATCCATGTTTACACAGAAGCATGCAAAGGAGGATACTGCAGTATTTGCAATGCAAATCTATTAAATACATTACAACTGAACAACAGGGTGTCCCTTTAACACTGCAATTCTAGAGCCTTTATCGGTGGTGGAAGTTTCCAGTGTATGAATTATAAAACAGCATACAATTTCAGAAACAGAAACAAGGAGTTTTGCAAATTGTTTGTGTTTTCAACTATGAAATCTTTCCGTGGGCCATGTCTAGCGCCGAAACCAAAGCCAGCTATTGAGTAGCCAGAAAGCTACAGTAATTGAGTACATGATCATTTCCCTCTTGGCTCGCTCTTTGTTCTCTTCTTCCAGAAGTTGTAGACGGCGATTAAGTTTGATTATCTAAAAACAAATAAAGGCTTTTAATACTTCATTAAAAGTGGCCAGACTTTTTAGAAGCTTCTGAATAACTACACAAGATTAGCATCCCAAAGAGAAGGATGTTAAACAGTTGATAATTTGACTTTCTATCTTCAGATCTTGCTGCCCCTAGTAAGTAGGAACGGAAATGGAGTCAGATTCTCTAGATTCCCAGAACAATATAGGATATGTGAGGGCAGTCCAGCAGGGGCACAGAGAGGATCCCTTGCCATGCCTGTTATGGATACCTTTGCAGTCACACAAAAACCCCTGTTAACCCCATTTTACCACTACAGCTTTGTCTTAATATTGTCAACTACTGTGCTTTACGTACCTGTCTTCTTAAGGAAGCAGCATCCACAACTGTCATGTCATCTGGTGTTCCCTCGAGTGTCGTGTCGAAGTTGGTGAGACCATATCTATCGAACAAAGAAGATGGCTTAGCTGTCTCAGCCACACAAAGATCAGCAAGTACCCTATTTTACCAGCATTCCAGTAGATGTATTTCTTGGTGGTGATGAAGAACTATAAAGTTTTTTTGCAGCTGTTACAGGGCCATATTTCAATAGGATTCTAACTGAGTAAAGCACAAACGCATATGAAATGGGTAAGTGCTTCACTGAATCGGGGTTGACTGCTCTCCACATTTAAATATTTTTGAAGATTCTCCACACAGACAGACTTCTTGCTGACATACAGTTCCTCAAAAGACTTTCCAGTTATTTAACTGATTCATGAAACCCGAACACCGCCTGAGCTAAAGCGCCAGTTGCAAGAGACCTCTGGCAACAGAGCAGAAATAACCAAATGGAGACTTGGAAAGAATTGGGTGTCTTATGCTCAGTACCTACTTAAATATCCCAAGGGGACATTTATTGAGATTAAGAACCTCAGTCACATTAATCTCAGTATTACAGGCAGAGAAGCTGGCAAATAAAGAGTGCAGTGCAGAATCACTCACTGCTTGCTGAACTTTGTGTGCATTAGAAAGTTTGTTCCCAGGGTACTCTCAGTTTATGTAGCAATTCAGAGAGAGCATTATTCTAACTCCAGGGCAAGGTAGTTAAATAAAGAACATTTATCATCAGTTGGCAAGTGGCAGAAAGTCTACACAGAGTATGTGTTTTGATCATCCAAGCGCTACCTCTTAATCAGATTCGTTTCCAACAACTAACAGGTAAATCCACCTGTTAGGATCCTCCACCTACCCTTGAGCTTCTCACTTTCTATCTTAAACCTGTTTTCAATTTTAGCTCCCCTTGACTTGCTTTCTCATTAGGACCCATGAACAATTGCTGCAAACAGCTTAGGAAATGGAACAAAATAATGTCAAGGCTATCAAATTCACAACAAACACACCTAAAAGAATATTTAACATTTAATGACAGTTAATGGTCAACTAATGAGAATATGAGTAGAATTCCTGGAGCTTGCAGAATGCACTTAAGTGCAGAAACTACTTTTGCACTTTATGTTCTTTCATCACTTTCAGGAAACTTCTCTAGAATGCCCTTAGCTCAGGCAACACCCTCCCCCCCAAACAGACAAATTGTCAAGTTCCCATATATCACTGTTTGTTACTACATTGTTTCTCAATAGGAATTGCTATTTCTAGATCAGAATTGCATTAGTCTGGACTTACAATAAATATGAGATCCTTGAGCTTTGCACACTCAAGAAAAAAAAAAAAAATCGAGTTCTCCTTACTCTACAGGTCCTCTGAAATCCAAAGAGATTTCTGATGAGGGTCTTCTCATGGCCAATTTTTTATTTGTAGTAGATGGTAAAAAATTTAGAAAATTCCACCATATCTACAGCACAGTTGTCCTTCACCATCTCCTGAGACACCAGGGAGGCTCAGCATTTCAGTGAGATGGGCACGGCTCCCTCCCAGGTCACACCAATTTAATATAAAGTCAGTGTATCACCGCTGCTCTGCCAACTTCCAAACCATTCCAGATATTATATTAAGAGGGTTACCAGAATGAAATCCCTTGAGATATCTCTTGGACCATTCCAAAAACTGAATTATGGAGTTACAGAAGAGTCACCTGCTTGAATCCAGTTTCTATTTAAGCCTAAATCTAACCTCCATTTCTATGAAAACATGGAATTGTAAACGGCAAATGGAAACAACAGATGTAGAAGGAACTATTTTTTTTCCATCATTCTGCCCACGATATTATGTGTCACTCTTACATCCAGTTCCACTGAAACAATGTCAATCTGCCAGGACAATGGCAGGGAAAAGGCATCCAGCCACAACTAACAGTCACAGGCATGTTACTGAGAACACCTGTGAAAATTAGGTGATATAAGGCCAAATTTTCTAGCAAGCTCATTACTAAATAGCAAATACCTAAACTGTACTGCCAATGTAATTTCAGAGCCTCCTCTCACACATTAGTCCGAGTCAGAATTCTGCAGCATGTTGTATCTATTGGACAACTGAGGCCTGTGCAGGTGACTTGGATGGGTAAGGAATAAAGGCCTGAAATATCTCAAGAGTTGAGAGGGAGCACAAAAATATTGTGTTTTAAAATAAGATCACTAGAAAGAGGGAAACAGAAACCTGAATTTTAGAATCTAAATTAGG